AACAACCAAATACTTGTAAGTTACCTAAAAACATGATTCAAAGACAAAATGTGATCACCTAACAATTTAGATATGTTTTGAGTTAAAAACAAGGTCTAAAGCAAGGAAACTTGATATAAGTGCTTCAAACTAGGCCATGAACTTAATGAAATCATAGTGTTTATCACGTATTCGATGTCAACATGATCAAGTGCATGTCTATACTCATGGTGGAGAGGTGGAGACCTAAGAAACATACTTTTCACCTCCCAATTGGTGAGTGCATGGTCACTTTAGAATATGTGGCACTACAACTGGGTTTGATGATTGATGGAAAACTAGTCATTAGACCAACTTTCTTTGATTGGGAAGAATTATGTTATGAGTTGTTAGCTATTGTGCCTTCGAAAGGGGAAGCTCTAATTGGCTCGACCATAAAAATAAAATGGTTAAGAGACCATATAATTACACTACCAGATGAACCCACTGAACATTAATTGCATCAACATTGTAAGGCATATATCTTAGGGTTGATTGGTGGTGCAATTATGCTAGACAAGTCAGGTAACGAACTTCACTTAATGTATTTACCACTGTTGGTTGACTTGGAATGTGCAAGACAATATAGTTGGGGTTTTTCTTGTTTGACACATTTGTACAGAGAAATGTGTAGGGCGATTTATCCATCGTCAAAGAAAATGGGTGGATGTTATTTGCTTTTGCAATCTTGGGCTTGGTATTGCATTCCCTTCATCCAACCAAGAGTCGAACAGGATATTATTCACTTGCACTGAGGTATGAATTAAACTTATATACCACTTTAACACATTGAACAACTACATTCTACCTAAATTTTAATTAATGTACAATTTTTTTAGATTGTCAAGAAAAGGGTTGAGATTTACAGGCACACTCCATGGAGTTTTACTTGGCTACAGATTAAGATATGACAACATGAATCATAACGAGGTAATACAATGTCAACTTCTCTCAAATATACTCTCTTTTATTCAATTAGTTTATAGCCTAAACCCTTTTCTTTTTTCAGTTTTTGTGGATGCCATGTAGGGGATTTCACTCCTTGTTGCCAACACATGCTTATAATTAAGGATTCCATAATATGGACTTCTTGTACTATTTTAACTTCATTTGCAATTGTAGTCTGGCATCAAAGTGATAGAGTCCAATTGCAATTTGGCCTGTAGCAACCAATCCCCCAATAAAGCCCATAATCTTGATAAAATGTACGAAATATACATGAGAGGACATAACGACACCAATTGGGCTGAACAATATGCAGACTGGATTTATATTTGGAAAGATAGACGCAAACATTTTGTTTTTGGGCAACTGCTTCAAGAGCCTCTCCAACACACTACTGAGTATTTGCAATGGTTTCGTGCTAATTCAAAATTATTTCTTTGTAACCAATATTCCTCATCTGGTCCTTCTAGTACACAACTCCCAACATCATCACATACCCTAGTGGTTGGAGATAATGACCCACCTTATAGTGAAGAACAATATCCCTAGTCTTTTTCAATGAATCCACCATTTCATATGCACCATAAACAATTCATGTACACCCCACCATCAACAATAGTTCCCACAGAGCATTTCATGAGCAATCTTTTTGGTGTCGACGTACACATGCCACAAAATGCATATGATTACATGCAAAACATGAATTTTCCTTCATTTTCTTCTTATCACTCTAAGGTTGAATCCTACTACCGATATTGCTCATATAGAAACATGATGAGGAGCAAGTTGAATCACAACAACTATGCATTGGTCGTCGAAACCCAACAAGGAACCAACAACCTCCAAGGTGTAAAATTGGTGAGCATAGACATCATTAAACTAGCTTGCTGTTATGTAATTTGCTGGATTGTGTTGTTATTCTTCTTTATTCGATCTTCTATTCTATTAGGATAAATATTTCAAAATTGTTCATGTCAATGAAAGTATTATTTGATTTTCTATGTCTTAAATTAAAGAAAAATAAAAAATTAAATTTTACATATTTATAATTTTAACAAATGATTTACTAAATTATAATATTAAATTTTTTATTTTTTAAAATAAATAAGTTTTAACATTATCTTTATTTTGTTAAATATTTCAAAATAAAAAATATATAATTTAATTATAAAAAATTATTTTCAAATTCTAAAAATTAAAATAAATTTGAAAATTATATTTAAAATTTTTAAAAAACTAAAAAGAAAAAACGGAAAAAAAAAGACCCATGAGAAATAGGTTACTAAGTAATCGATTTCTTAACGGTTTTTAAAATTTTTATTTTTACTAGATAACCGATTTCTTACCTGAACCAAAAAATGAATTATTTTGGTAAATAAAATGGGGCTCTGATTATTTAAATAAATAAAAAAATTATTAAAAAAAAAGTCAAGGAAAAGACCTTTTATTTATTTATTTATTTTATTTTTAGTGATTGTAATAAAAACTGATGTGAAACAAATTCAGAATTCCTTCCCAAAAGTAGTTGCTTAAATCTTAGTCAAGATTTGACTGATCAGAGAAAGCTGGGCCTTTATGAAAACTACAGCTGCAGCACCCGGAACTGAACCTATACTTTAGTACTAATCAGTGTCACTGTCCTGCTTATTAGTGAATGATTCACACTATGATGTTACATACGAAAATTAAATGTATTGTGACTAGCAGAAGCTAAATATATGAAGTAATATTAACCACTTGAATTGGGATTATAGTCCACCAAGAAAAACATTTGAACTCAAAACTTGCACCCCTTTTGGAGGGAAAGGAGAGGTGCTGAAACAGGCCTTTAACTAGCATATCTTTAACAAAATGCTAAACCAAAATAAATACAAATGTTAAAAAAAGAACTTTTATCAAATATCTTACAGGCATAACTTGACTAGCAAAAAGATAAATGATAAAATTACATTTAAAATAAGGATGATGAGTGGACTTTCCATTTAACCCATGACTATTACATAATCTTTTAATTAACACACCAAATGAAGACAATATTAATAACCTTTCAAATACTTCACAGTTACACAAGAATATTGCCTTTTAATGTATATCAGCTCACAAACTTTCATCTTCTAACATTCATTACCTTTTTCTTTTTCTAATTATTATTTCTAATAGAAATCGGTGTAAAATCAAAAAGAGAGTGAGTGAATAAGATTTGAATGATACGGGGAGCACATGGCCCATATAAATTATGAGAGGAAAAGTCATTAGGTTATGTGGCAGTTTGTTACACTGCACGTGGCTGAGATGGCAGTGTGAAATGTGAATGCTCAATAATGTTGTCAACTTAAGTGTCTCTTTATCCAACCAAAAAGTATTAATTTATTCGGTTCATTATATTAACTAGAAATATGAATGAGAAGAATAGTTAGAAACATGAAAATTTAGATTTAATTTTTATTATAATTATTTATATAATTTTTTTTCTTTAAAAAAAATTAAAAATAAAGTTGTAAAAAAAAAAACTTAAAAACAAAGTACATTTCCGTCGCACTATCATAAATAGTTAAATTAATTAATTAATTTTAAAGTTAAATTAACTTTTTAATATTTTATTTTATTTTTAAATTTAATTTGATCTTTTATTTTTAAAATATTCAATTTTATGTTTATAAAATGACTCAAAATAGTCATTTCCATTATGTTTCTAACGATCAAAACTCGAGTTGGTCACGTTGACTTAATTTTTGATACAACAAATGGCCTAATTAAACTATATTAAAAACATGAAGAACCAAACTAAATCTATTAAAGAATATAAAAGACCAAATTAAACCTAAACACAAATAACTTCATCAATCCAAATATAAACCTTTACAGCAAGCTAGATGCAATCAATTGCAACTATGGAGGAGATCAGCTAAACCAGCAAGACAATAAAGCCTTTGATATGATTTTTTTGTAGACTTTTAGTTAGTTATTAGAATATAAAACATCATTCCAAATTTTTTTGTGGACTGGTTTTAACTATATGTTAGGATGTTCAATTATTTTTAGATTGATTTTATGCGGCTATTATTTGTAGTATAATGAAACTTATATTTGTAATGAGGTGATTGTTGGCTTGCTTTCACATGAAACTTTATAATGAAACTTATATTTTTTAATTAGTTGTGTTAAAATATATTTTATATTATTTTTATGCTATTTCAATTTCAATATATTTGATGAAATTGCATGTAGTAATACATAGTTCTATTGTCTTTTCCTTTATCATATCTTTTCAAATGTCTTTGGTCCTTTATATTTTTAAATTGTTAGGTCTAATTTGATTTTTTAAGTTCCCACTAAAGTTCAATTTGTTTCTGTCATACGTAATTAATAGTCAATTCAATTTTTTTAACATTGACTGTTTGGGATTTAACGAATAGAACCATATTGGGTAACTTTATAAATATAATGACTAAATTAGTTTTTAGAAGATAGAAGAGTAAAATGAATCTATAAAGAATAAAATAAAGAACTAAGACAGTAATATATCCTAATTTTTTATTAATAATGTCATAATTTAAAATTTTAATTAAAAATATTTATAAAACTAATGGTATAAGTGATAATTATATTTAATGACATTACTCATAAATTAAAAAATAATGAAATAAATTTTTTTAACGAGCATGACTTAAAGTTTTAGTAGCTCAATAAATACACCCTCTTCCATATAAAATGAGTGTGGCTCCTTCATAAACTCTAATAAATTAAGGGTATAAAATAAAATTATCCATAAATGTGTTTAAAAGTAAACTTATGTTTTCTTACACTAAAATAATACTTTAATTCGTTTCTTATATTTTTCTGGACCATAATTCGATATATTTAATGTTTTTACATACTCCTTAATTATTTAATATTTTTAACAAGAAAAATTATAAACTAGAAACAACAGTCGTTAAATATTATATGTGAAAAAAAAATATATTACTCACAATCTGTAAAAATTAAAAAATTTGTAACAAAAAAAAATACACCCGGAAGGATTATATATATTAATAACTAGTATTTTTTTTATGTAAATTTTTTCGATTAACATATATTGACAGATAGTATAACATTTGACGAGGCTAATAATTAAAAACATGATAAAGAGCCAAAACTTTTTGTTCATTAATTTATTTTACAAAGTAACGGCTAACGAAAGCCAGTGTTATGGATGTCTTCCATGTAGTGAATTCACGCAGATTTCTCATATATAAAACTTACCTCTCTCTCACCTCTTCTGTTGTCAAGCAAGCCAGATTTTCTATTTGATTTATTAATATTTGAACACTATTTATATATATATGATTAACCCGATCTATATCAACTGAGTAGTGTAAGGTTGATGAGGTGGTATTGCCGGCATCTTAGAACAAGGGTCATAACCACTCTTACTTTGTTGGCTTTGGTTATCGATCATGTTCTGTGCTTCTCCAGTGAGTGAGGAAATGGCTGAAAACAGTGCTGCTTTGAGAGAAGGATCTTTGGCTATAGCTTCACTCACAACATCCACCAAGTCAAGGTTTTTCTCTGGGGTACTTAGCATGGTTATTGGAAGCATAGAATTGACCTGAGGGTGGCCATGCAGTGAAAGAGGGAACGATGGAGTAGTAGTGGCTCTTTGGAATTGCATGTAGTTATTGTGGGGTTGGGTTAAGTCCAGTGTTACTGTGGGACATGTTGCAGACTGGGAGAAAGTGGCCACAGCAGTTGGGGAAATGTTGGATGGTGAAGAAGCTGAGAAGAGGTGTGGATTTGGTATTGGTATGATATGTGAATTGCTTGTGATTGAGCCAGAAAGGAACATGTTCAATGCAGCTGATGTTGAGCTTGCCAAAGGTCTTGCTGCTGCTGGTAGTGGATGGTTATGGTTCCCTTCATAGCTTGTGATGAGAACAGTCTCATCCTTAAAACACCTTTGCACCTGTTACATTTAAAGCAAATATCACCATAAGTAGTGAATTGTGAACCTTAATTTGCACCTGTTGTTACACATTTGCTTTATCTTCTCTTGACCACAAAATTTATAAATGTTACCAGTATTGGCTAAAATAATTAGTCAATAGGTAATGCTAGTGTAATCAAATACCATAGTCATATATTATTAAGGGCATGTTTAAATGAACTTTTATGATTACACTTCTAAAAGGAAATAAAATGAGAAAGATATAAATGAAATAAGATTTTTTATAAGCTAAAGTTTATGAATATGTTAGTTTGTAAAAGATATTTTATATATCTTCTCTAAAAAAAATTAAAAAATAGTTTATGCATATATTAATTTTAGTTTAAAAATCGAAAAACTTAATTTATTTTTTCTACATTTTTTTTCTTCAAGAAATGCAATTAGTAATTTATCTAAACATACACTCTAATTTTATTATGAGCCCACAAGGTTACTAAAATTAGGTGTGCATGGCTTGAAGAATAAGGAACTATAACTGGACGGAAAGGTTTCATCCTTTTCAGTTATATATATTATTACATTAGATTGTCAAAATTTTAGTCACCAAATTTATTCTTTAATTAAAAAAATGTTTTTGTTACTTTTATTTTTTATTGATTTTCTCACACAATTAATCCCTTTTAAACACTTAAATTATGGTTAAATTAATCTTTTAAAGATGCTTCTTACCACACTAGTATGCTACGAAGGCTAATTAATATTAGAAGTAATCGTGTTGGTCTGTTGGAGTTGGTTTAGCTGATATATGCCGTAAAACTTTAGTCAATATACTGAAATTTCATACCAATTGATTCCGGGTGGTAAAGGCTAATTAATATGCTGAAATTTCAAATTTTCCCTTCAGGGATTTAATATGTTACCAAATCAAACATTTTGAGGAACTAAGTTGGTAATAAAGTCTTTAAAAGACTAATATGATGACAATTTAATTTTTTTTTAAAAGAATAATTTTGTAACCATATTTTTAAGACTACTGTACATATGTATAACTTTACATCAAGGGCTTTTGTAAACTGGATTCAAGATTCTCCTTTCTATGACAGTAATGATATAATTTATATGAGGAGAGATCCGTTTATTCTAGAAGTAAGTTTATTTAAACTTATTCTGTTTAATAATTCATGCTTTATATCAAATTTCAATGATACAACTGTTGAATTTAAAATTTTTAATGCACAGATTAAATCTACAAATTTTTAAAAAAATTTGAAAATCATTTAATACTTCGTTTCATTAATTCAAATTGACGAATAATCATAAAAACATGTTATCCGTCAATTTGAATTAATGAAACGAAAAATCAAATGATTTTCAAATTTCTAAAAGACTAGTAGATTTGATCAATGCATTAAGAACTTTAAATTCAATTATTCGATCGTTGAGATTTGATATATAACATGAATTATTGAATAGAGTAAGTCAAAGTAGACTTACTCCTAAAGTAAATGAATCCCTTCTCAATTTATATATATTGCAAACACTACAAAAAAATATTATATATAATGACATATAAAATATGTTATCATAGATACAATATATGTATGAATATATAAATCTATTTGACATATACTCACACATAATTAATTTAGTTAATTCTAAATAAAATTTAACAACATATATTATGTATTACTATAATTTATATGCTTATAATTTTTAATAATATACCAACATATATTATAATTTCAATATAGATAAATACAATTTTTAATAAGAGATATCATATCATCATATAATGTGTATCAATATATAATAATTTTTTCTTATGGGAAGTAACAAGTAAGAATGCAAAGTGAAGTGATAACAATTAAGAAAATATAAGTATTTCTCAATGAACCTGCTTACGAACTGGACATGCAGTTCCCATGCTGCAACGGTAGTAGGCTCGGGGACAAGGGTTTCCTTTCGCTGTCTTCTGTCCATATTTTCTCCATTGACACCCATCACCGATCTGAAACATTATTAAAATAACAATTATAATGCATGACCATGTAATTCCTCACACTGATTATTATACTTACTTTACGCCCTTGTCTTTTTTCCTTCACACGTGTTATATGTTTTTCTACCATAAATATACGTAGGTCTATATTTGTTTTCATCTTAAAAGGAGACTGTAAGTAATTAAGAAAATATAATTCAGACGCATTTGATGCGAAATGATTATCCTTTGAGATTTTATAAAGTGTTGATGACTATATACTTTTATATCAATATATATATATATATATATATATATATATATATATGTTTACATTTTTATTGATTTTTTTTGGGTCTTTGATGATATATCTCATAGACATACATATGCATAACTGTTAAGTTAATTCTTAAGTTGATAGTCAAAAAAAAATTCAGTTAGGTAATAGACTATGTATTTTGATTAGGTGACTTTTAACTTTAGAATTCAAACTTTTGATATTATAATTTTATTTAAGGTGACAGTTTTTTTTTCTTCATGAAAATATTCGTCTGATGACCAATAACTAATCAAAATGATAGTTATTTAACAACACCAACAACAAAAATAGTTCAATATGACACGTTATTTTCATTTTCAATTAACTAACGTTGAGATTGAGTACTATGATCTTTTGTAAAATTTAAAAATCACAATAAATATGTTTTTAGTTTTTAAACTTTTGCTAATTTTGTTTTTAGTTCTTAAACAAATTTTATTTGATTTAAAATTAGTAAAAAAAAATATTTAAAAATAAAAAAAAATAACAAAAGTTCATGAATTAAAAACACATATAATCCTACTATAAGAAAAGAAGAGATAATTAAGTGCATATTTTGAACTGAAAAAGGAGGTTTATAGGAAAATGATTCATGTGTATGAAAGCAGTAATGTGAAAAGTGAAATGAAAAAACCACTTAACTAAAAAAGGGAAAAAGTATTTATATATCAAAATGGTACATATACACTATATGGTACATATATTCATGTGACATATGTTACTCTACATATATATCATATGTTAATCACATGTATGTTGTATATATCACTGTGTCAAGAAAATAAAATTATTTGGCAGAAGAACTTAAGAGATAAATTACAATTCTGAAAACTTCTTTTGAGTTTTATTAAAATTAAATACTAAATTGAGAATGATATATAATTTCAAGGATTAATTTAACTATTTATTCATTTTAATATTATTATATCATAAATTGTTAGTGTAAGAATATTAATTTTTATAATAATTACTTTAAAAGTTGATTGGTAATCATGTAATAATATATATAATTATATAGACAACATATGAAAATGAAACTCATTTTATTAGTTATATTTAATTTGAATATTTTAAATATATAAATATTATATTAAATTAATTAATAATAAAAGTATGTTGTTAGCATTGGTTGATTTGCAATCGTGCCGGCCGGCCAGGTATGATTATCAGTCAACATAATCTGTCAATTATTATAAGCTTATAAAATAATAGTAGAAGATTTTATAATTTTAAAAATGAATCTGCACCTTTCTACTTCAAATATGATGTCTAATTTAGTCACAAAACTTTAAGTACACACAGATTAGTACACATTAAAGTTAATAGAATATGGTAGTGAAAAATTCTTTCAAAATTGACAAGAATTAAAACGTGTTTCACATTAATTAAAATGAGATAATGATAAAAAAAAAAAAAAAAACCATGAAAAATGATAAAAAAAAATAATAATAATAAAAAAAGAGATAGAAATACATACCAAAGAAAAATCTGATCGTGCTCTTATGGAAACTTTAGCTCTCCTGCAAGTAGCCTCTAATGCTTGATCTTCTGTGTGTTTTGGTTCATGCGATGTTGTTTGGCTTTTGATTTCACCTTCACCATTGTACTTATCACATGCAACGTTTCTTCCTAATATTTTCTTTTCAATGTTTTCAGCTGAGGCACGTGCTTCTGTGTTGCCGTCTAAAAGTGAAGACTCACCAATATTCAAAAACTGTCGAGTGTGTAGCATTGGTTTCTCCTCATCTTTTCTATTTCCCTTCAAAATTCATGTGAAGATATATGCAACGTTTTCCTCTTTAATTAGCTTGTTCATATAACAAAATATAGTGCAAACATCAAGCTTCAAAGGTTTATAGTTGTACACTATCAATAATTATTTGTAAAAGAAGGTTTTAAAAAAAGGAAAATTTCTACTTTTCTTAATTGAGGGATATCAGTACAATTAGAATTACCAACTTTATCCTAAATTTGTTATTTTTAATAATTTATATAAAATTTATATTTTTGAATTATTTTTATATCTTATTGGATATTTTATCTTTCCATTTTCTTTTTGAAATTATGTAGCTATTTTATTTCCATTACATATGCTCTAGTTTCCTTTATAATAATATCATTGTATACTTAAATAGCTGAGTTTTAATAATTTGTTAGCATATTTTTGTCTTTTCGTCTTATATTTTTGAATTTCTACGTTACAAATTAATTTTTCACTTCTATTATTTGTTAGTTCGTTTATTTCTTTTAATATTTTTATAGCATTATTACATCTTTATAATTTTAACCTTTATAATTTTGTTCCACTTTTTATTATATATATATATATATAATTTAGATTATTCATTTTATAATTAAATTGGTTTTTTAAAAAAAATTTATTGATCTACACAGAAAAAAGTACCAAAACTTCTCTATTTTTAAAGGTACAGCAACTCCCTTAAAAAAAAAAAAAAAAAACTTCAATAAATTGTAAAAGTTGAGATTTTTAGACTCTTCACAATTGCATTTTGGTAATATTAAGAATTGTGATTAAAACACAATTGTGACAATATGAAACCTTAATTAGTTTTATCAGCCACAATACTAAAAGAGTCCTGATTTTTCTTTCAACATTTTTGGGCTCTCATTTTACTCCCTTTTCTACTTCTCTATAATAATTTTGTCAAATGTACACGTCACGACAAGAACAAGAAAATGTAATACTTTTACTTTTTAATTTTGGTCATATATAATCGTAGCTTATCTGTTTGTCTTTAATTCCTGGCACAGCAGTTAGACTTACATATCTTGAGTTGTTGACTAAGTAAAACCCTATTGCTTTCAGCAATTATATAAAATTTTGAATCAAAGATAATAATAAGAAAAAAAATGTACTATACTGATCAAATAAGCATATATGCAAAACAAAATTGAAGTCAAACTTACCTGCGAGTCAAGATTTTTATTGAGAGGTGATGATGAAGATAATTGATGCTGCTGAATCTCAAAAAGTATGCGATTCTTAAGAGCAGTGCAGTGTTCATTAACCTGATTCAGCGTAGCCTTTAAAATCTCATTCTCCTTCTTCGCTTCCTCAAGCTTTATTCTCAGCATGCTCATCTAATTAAGAGCCACTCACACCCAGAAAAGAGACTTATTGATCATGTCCAACATAAGGGGCATCAATAAAATTATGCATATTAAAAATAACACATAATATTATTATTTCTTTATCATAAGGTACCCCAGAAATTAATACTACTCACTTGGGTAATGGTTGGTCCAGAGTTATTCAGGCTCAAGCTCAGAAGAGTAGATCCAATCTGCACAATTTTTTTATCCATAATTAGTTAGAAAAATCATTTAATAACTTAAAATTATATTGTATAGTGATTTGTGAGAAAATCTGATCATCCATACACAGACATATACATATGATTCATCTAAAAAAATTACGGATATAAACAAAAAATATATGTGAAAAAAGAGAAAATTGAAATAAGCAAGGAGAGACCAAGGTCAACTGTCTAAACAAGATTTTGCACATCATCACGATTGCAAGCGCAATTATAGTCACATCGATGATATTTTTCCTTGATTGTTTGCAATATTAAGGTTTTGAAAGAATTATGATTGCAACCACAATTTAAAAGCTTGCTAGAAATTAAGCAATAAGAAACTTCACATATTGCAAGACTTACAGTACTATGATTGGAGGGTTCCTCATCTTGCAGCAATTCTTTTAGCACAACTTTTTCTTCCATTTGTAGCCTTTTACGCTGTGTAAACTGGTGATATCAGATATGCAAATATAGTTGGTGTTTTCTGAGTGAATATGGTTTCACACTTTCACTCCAGACTTTAGATTATTCTTATCTAACTTTTGAAGCATATAAGTATATAGCGGGTGCTGAATGCAGCGTTTATGGACGAAATTTCTGCACTGTACACACCATCGATATGGTCCTAGTTAAGTCTAATTTTCTAATAGTTTGTTTTGCCATATCTGAAATATTTAATTCCGTTTGTTTATTAAATAAGTACTTTTCTACATTAAAGATAAAAAATGACCTCAAGGGGTGGAGAAACAGGCAACAGAGAAAAGAGGGAGAAGGTAGCAAAGATTTAAAAAAATATAATGTTACCCATATAATAAAAATTGTACAATAATTTACATAACATTATTTTTGTGTTTATTATTTTTTATTATTTTATTTATTATGGAAAAAGATATTAATAATGAAAAGATTGACACAAAAATAATATTGTACAAATTGTTGTACAATTTTGTTGGATGTATAACATTACTCTTAATATACATATATATATATATATAAAAGATGCATTAAATAAATATGTTTATTTTAAAATATACACTACTCATCCCTAAGAATTTCAAACGAGAATATCAAATAATTTAGCAAGAGGTGTTTCTTAATTTGTTTTTATTTTATTTATAATTAAAGAACGCTATGTGACATGGTTGAATGTAGATCTAAACCCTAGTGTTAAGGATCAGTGAATAACTAATATATTAAGACAGGTGTGACTCTTTACGATGAGTAGCTGCCTTTAAAATATAATGAAATTAAGTAATCTCAGTAGATGATAAAATTTATATTTAATATTATGTTCATATGAATAATAAATATATAATAAACGTGTGTTACAATATTAATGGTTGGTTTTTTTCGTAATACGTACTACACATACAAATCAAAATTGAAAACGAAATAATTTTTGAGTAATATACTTATTAAAAAGCTCATCACTAAAATTAATTTAGACCCTAATTTTAGTAATGGAAAAGCAATATTCCCATTACAAAATTTGGTTACTAATGCTTATGATTTTTGTAGTGTCAACTATTGAGTTGAAATTATTTATTTTACCTAATTCACTTTAAATCGATCAAATCCTAAACATTAAAGTCATTCTTAACAAAGTAAGATTGTTGTTTGCATAGTTTTTAGTTAGTTATTTTTTTTTAATACTAAGAAAAGTTACAAAATAACAAAAAAGATTCAAACTTCAAATTTTGTATATATTATTATTATCATAATAAGTCTTTTTATCATTAAATTGACTTTAATAATTCATACAAATGGTAAGTGTTTTTTCCTTTCTTCTCCTGTTTTTGAATAATATGTTGCTTATTAATTTCCATACACGTACAAGCACGTCTCAAGAGAAAATTTCAACATTTCTACAGAAGTATCCAATCAAGGAACCCATGTGGCAATATGTTCTATGAAATTCATTCATAAAGGGGTGTGTCTCACGAGATCTGATCAGTGTCTCTTTTATAATATGTTTCATTTGTATTTATTACAAGGTCTTTCGAGGGGTTGAAACCCTAACATTACATGTCTTTAGATTATGCAAAAGAGCAAAATCATATTATTGTAATGTAAGTCAACTGTGGAAACGTCCTCGTTCTCACCAACAACAATGAAATGGACAAATTGGAATTCTAGATTGCTTCGTTTCCCTTCATGCAGGGAAAGGAAAAATGAAGGAAAAGACAAGAATAATTCCATATCCAGCGTGACTCAGGCAAGCCCTTCCTCTATTGAAGAAATTTATAAGGCAACAAACGAGTGTCCAAGGCGATTGAAATCAAAGGGAAATTTCGTCTTCTTTTTAAAAGTATTTCTATTTAATATTAGTGAAAAAGAGACATGTTTTTATTAATTTGAATGAAAAATATAGAAGTTATGTGAATAATAAGTGGACATAGAAATAAGATTGACTAGAAACTAGGAGTAAAAATGAGAGAAAATTTTCTAAAAATAGCAAGAAAATAAATAAAGATAATTAATGATAAAATTGTCTCAATAAAGTGGAGCTCAAAAGTGATTAGTGGTAAATACATTTTCTTTATATATTATTCACTATTTACAATTTTCATATATATTCAAACAAAAATAAAGATCATTATTTTTTTTAACTCGATCTCAACATATATAGAATGCTATTTGATGACAGAAATCCAGCTATTGGATACACATATACGTGCTGGCATCAAGGGAGATTTTGTCTGAGATTTTCAACATTTGGGAGCCATCACTACTAGTATTTCTCTTATTACATACGATTTTTCTTGCGAATTTTTCATAAAAATTCCCAAGAAACGTTATTCCTACAAATTTTTCTGCGAAATTTTATCTGTAGGTAATATTTTTGTGGATAATATTTTTTTGCGAATTTTAAAATTCGCAGGAAATTTTCCTGCGAAATTTCTTGCGAAAAAAATTTGCAGGAAAGTTTCCTGCAAAAAAAAAATTTGCAGGAAAGATTCCTACAAAAAAAATTCGCAGGAAAGTTTCCTGCGAATTTTTTCGCAAGAAATTTTGCAGGAATATTTTTTACGAAAAAAATAAAGAAATTACTATAAATTCTATATTTAAATATGTTTTTAGTCCCTCAAATTTAGGGTAAATCTATTTTTTATCCCTCAAATTTAAAATTGTTGTTTTTAGTCATTGTAATTTCAAAAAATCTTAATTTAGTCCTTATATTCAAATTTTGTTAAGAAATTTATCAAACATTATTGCATAAAATCTACTTATTGGTGTCCCTATTAGTGAAAATATTACATTAAATCTGGATGATATTGCATAACTGTCTTAATTAGTCACTTTCAAACATGTTATTGGTGACCTAAGGGACTAAAACAAGATTTTTGAAAATTACAGGGACTAAAAACAATAGTTTTAAATTTGAGGGACCAAAAACAAATTTATCTTAAATTTGGGACTAAAAACATATTTAAGCCTAAATTCTATTAATAAGTTGAATTCATCCGAAGCATTTGTTTCCATGCCTCCAACATGTGATAATAATCTTTTAAATTCTAAGATGGTAGATTATAAGTCTAACACTCAACCATATAAATCAACTTGTAAGGTAAATATTGTCCTAACTTATATACTCTTTAATTGCTTTATTTTCAATCGATGTGGGACTTGAAGTTTTTTTAAAATATTAAACTTATAAATTTAAATATTTTTTTTATTTTTCCTGCGGATTAAAATTTGCAGGAAAATCCGCAGGAAAAGTTATCTGCAAAAATTTTCTACCATTTAATAAACATTACTTGCAAATTTATTTTTGCAAGAAAATCTGCAAGAAACAAAATAAAATTCTTACAATATTTTTTGCAAATTTTTACCATGGAAAAAAATTTCTATGATTATTAAAATTGTAGCAAAATTTGTAAGAAATATCTGTAAATTATTTTTCGCAAATAAATTTGCAAAAAATTTCTGTGAATATTTTTTTGCAGGAAAATTCGCAAAAACTTTATGCGAATAATTTTTTGCAAGAAAATTCGCAAAAAATTTCTACGAATATATTTTTGCAGGAAAATTTGCATGAAAATAACATTTTTCTAGTAGTGCATTTTGAATTTCGATTAATATCAAATCATGCATATATTTCTATGCAAGATGACAAAAATCTTATTATATTTGGTCTCATATCCTAGGCTTGAATTAATCTCATGATTATGACTACGTTTAGTCCATAGAAAAGTGTCATTTTTTTTGCAAATTTTCCTGCAAAAAAATATTCGTAGAAAGTTTTTGCAAAATTTCCTGCAAAAAAATATTCGCAGAAATTTTTTACGAATTTTCCTACAAAAAAATATTCACAGAAATTTTTTGCCAGTTTTCCTGCAAAAAATAATTTACAGATATTTCTTACAACTTTTGTTACAATTTTAATAATCATGGGAAAAAAAATTTCATGGTAAAAATTTGTAAAAAATATTGTAAGAATTTTATTTTGTTTCTTGCAGATTTTCTTGCAAAAATAAATTCGCAAGTAATGTTTACTAAATGGTAGAAAAATTTTACAGGTAATTTTTCTTGCGGATTTTCCTGCAAATTTTAATTTGCAGGAAAAATAAAAAAAATTATTTAAATTCATAAGTTTAATATTTTAAAAAATCTCTAAGTCCCACATTGATTGAAAATAAAACAATTAAAGAGTATATAAGTTGGGACAACACTTACCTTACAAGTTGAATTGTATGGTTGAGTGTTAGACTTATAATCAAAAATCTTAGAATTTAAAAGATTATGTACGAGGCATGAAAATAAAAGATTATGAATTCTTAAAATATATAATTTATAGTTTTTTTTTTTAATTTTTTCGTAAAAAATATTCATGCAGAATTTCTTGCAAAAAAATTCGTAGGAAAGTTTCCTGCGAATTTTTTTTGTAGGAAAATTTCCTGCAAATTTTTTTTGCAAGAAACTTTCCTGCGAATTTTCCTACAGATTTTTTTTTTGCAGGAAAATTTCCTGCAAATTTTTTTTTGCAAGAAACTTTCTTGCAAGAAATTTCGCAGGAAATTTTCCTGCAAATTTTAAAATTCGCAAAAATATATTATCCACGAAGGTATTATCTGCAAATAAAATTTCACAGAAAAATTTGTAGGAACAACGTTTCCTGCAAATTTTTATGAAAAATTCGTAGGAAAAGTCACATGTAATAAAAGAAATTCTAGTAGTGCCAGTTCCTGGTTTTTTTTTAGTTTTTTTTTTACACAAAAGCTAATTTGAAGTTAAAGCTAAAATTTAGTTTTTAAATTAAAGTAGAAGTAATCTGGTAATATTGAAACTAAAGTTCATTTTAAATTAAAAACTCTTTAATTTCCTCGTATTTACTAGTTATGGACGAGAGAGATTAGGCTATGAAGCTAATTCTTGATAAAATATACTTCAGTTATTATTGTTATTCTTTTATATATAAGAAAAATACTTCCCCTCTCTTTTCTCTTGTAAAATAAGCTTCTTCATTTTTTTAATTTATTTTTTTCTCTCCAAATATGTTTGGTTCAACTTCTCCTTTTAATAAGAAAAGTAAAAAATAAAAAAAAACCCACTTGGTCTTTTTGTTCGTGAACAAACAGACATTAATATATACTTATATCAAAGGATTTG